CTTCCTTCGTCCATGAGGATAATGATGAAATCCTTGTACAGTAGGCATTGGGTTAGGTTTTCCATTGACCAGATCGATAAGGGTAAAGAAGGGTGAAACCATAACATGTCTTAATTGATTTATTCCTTATAAAACATACTGGTAAAAAACACATACAACCACACTGTGGACCATAATTCCCAGGCCTGGCCCAGGGTATAGCACTGGCGCCTCTAACAACTGCTGTTGTGGTCGGTTACACTCCGACCCGAGGTGGGTTTGGGGTCCTCGGCCCACGAGGTAGAGTAGAGCCGATTAATCATGCCGAATCAGCGCCATCACTCCTATATTGACCACTGCTGGGTATCCACCGGGTCCGAGCGACCGGTGGGTTTCAATTAAGCCCACCCTCGACCTGGAGACAAACGGGGCAGCGTCAGGGGACTGAGAAACATGACAACACCAACAAACTCTCTTGTCTAGACGACAGACGTATTTACGTTAAATTACTTCTACACTGGGTGAATGACAATTCAACTGTTAAATCATGAACACTGGTGAACACTGATATTCACTACAATTGACTGAATTAACTGAATGGCTAGGGAACACAGAACATACCTGGAGACAAACGGGCCAGCGTCAGGGGGCGCGCTCCCTGGCCATCTTGAGTTTATATACCCCTGAGTTGCCAGTGATCGCTACTCACGCAATGACAATAATCACAAACAAACTAACTGTTACTCATTCAAAGATGACCCTCAGTTGACAAAGGTCAGGCGAATTACTAAAGTTGATTTAAACAGACTAATTCAAGGTTGCGTTTGCCAGTAGAGAGTGCAATAAACGCAGTGACAACTGTGTTCGAAGGCGGGGCTTACTGAGAGTGATCCTGAGGGTAAAACAGATGGGAAATACACGTCTCTCCTGAGATTCTACAAGCGCGGTGGACTTGAATATTATGTAGCGTAATATGAATTAAAACGGGTTTTTAGGAATGACAATGAGGTGCGCAGTACATTGCCTTCCCCTTCCAAAGATTCATATTAGGCGGAATAATAGGCAAAAGCACTAACGCGGTAGTGCACATACATTCGACATATCTTAACAGTTCGTGATTACAGTACCTTAATACATAAAACAAAACCTAAGGAGACTTAAACGTTTCATACTCGAGTCTCCGCTACCAATACCTGCAACAACTTAATTCTTATTTCCGTACAATATAGTATAGGGAACATTCCCCTAACAGTTCATCAGCATAATACCTCAACATATTTTTGGCACCAGCGCATAAACAGTGACTCTGACCTTACATATACAACAAAGAACTCTGCATGAAATTACATATACTTAGGAATTTAAATTCCTGTCTATGAATGGGGCATTAGTTACATCAGCCACATCCTCCGATTACTACTTCGTTTCAATAATAATTCACCTTTTCAACACAAAACCGTGGTTCTATAAGTACACAATGGGGCTCATAACACAAAACACGTATTTTCCATCTCACAGTTCAGAAGAACTGGTATTTCAAAGTCGGGGTGACTCCCTCACTTGGAGTGAGTCAACAACCCAAAAAAAAACTTCCGACACACATAAACTGAGATTTTTCCTTTCGACAACATAGGCAGCAACTGGATCTCCGGACTTCAGTTCGTAAGAACTTGGGTTTATAATGTTGGGGTGACTTCAGTACGACTGACGAAGTCAACAACCCAAAAAAAAACCTTTTCAGACAATATAGATACCACTACTAATAGCTGATCTTCAAAAAGCATCCTCAAAAACCATCTGAGTAACTGTCTTCCCCCCCCCCCTACCAAAAGATTATAATTAAACAAATCAACTTAAACAAAAACATAGACATTTCCATTACTGAGTCACGCACACAAAAAAGAATCAGTGGTAATATGGTAATACTTTACGAGACTGTCCCCTCAGTACTCAACAAATGTTCACTGTCTTTTCAATTGCAATGATTTCAACACTTATCACTTCACAATGTACTCTGTTGTACTCACAAATGGGGGGTCCTTACATGTACTTTCACCAATAAATTTTCAAAGATTGCGTTCTTTTACAGATGTCCATATCACCATAGAGTCCTCAACTCATCAAAGCAATTGCTGAAATTATACATGTATTAGATCTCAAATATACATAAAACACACTCAATGACATTGCCTGTAAGTCTACACTGCTAGAAACTAATGCTCTATGCACTAAAAATCATAATAATAGAAACAATACAAAATATACCAAATACTCGGGTATCTAACACAACACAGGTTATACAAATAAATTCACTTGCCCCAATTCTGACCTCAACTTATAACTAAAACACTTCCAATTAAAATTAAAACAACTACACCCATATTTTGTCAATTACAAATAACACTGTTACATAACCTTAATATAATTATGGCCTTCCGGTACACTCAGAAATCGACACTGTCCACAACACTCGTAACACGGCACATGTTCAATGTCCCTCATTGTCTGTAAATAACAAAGTATTAACTCGGGTGATCACAACAATTGCTATGGTACCAGTGCAGAAAGGCACCCAAAAAAAATTTACCTTGGCATACAACCAACACTTTTCTGAGATTTCACAAAAGACTGCAAAAAAAATAGTTAGGTAGCTAAACTCTGATTCTCAGACATTTTTCAACACTGAACTTTTCAATCTTAAACACTTCACTGCACACTCTACTTTAAAACAGATTTCTAATTTTCTGGATGCAATTGTTCTAACCTAACTTCGAGTAAGGTATTTGCCGTGAACTGTTTTCAATTTCTCCTTAAAACCACAAAAAAAAATATCCACAGCATCACATTTATTCCTCCTGATCTGATACCATGTAAATTACATCACTTCCGTGCCACCTGTGTAAGGGGGCGGGTTTTTTTTTTTCAACACCTACACCACCCTTACCTTACTTCTCTATAATTGTTCTTTTTCTGCAACTTAAATCACAGCTTCAATTCCCTCGGATTTGATCAATGATTAAAAACCATCCCACCGCTATAGCCACCAATTTATACTGCCAGATTCTGGGGTCACTAAATCTAAGGGGATAACTTAACTCTAATCTTAATTTCTAAGGGTCGCTGCCACCAAACCCCCTCTGGACAGCATGTAGCTCGTTTGATAGCGGGCAGAGTGGACTAGGCATTGGGTTAGGTTTTCCATTGACCAGATCGATAAGGGTAAAGAAGGGTGAAACCATAACATGTCTTAATTGATTTATTCCTTATAAAACATACTGGTAAAAAACACATACAACCACACTGTGGACCATAATTCCCAGGCCTGGCCCAGGGTATAGCACTGGCGCCTCTAACAACTGCTGTTGTGGTCGGTTACACTCCGACCCGAGGTGGGTTTGGGGTCCTCGGCCCACGAGGTAGAGTAGAGCCGATTAATCATGCCGAATCAGCGCCATCACTCCTATATTGACCACTGCTGGGTATCCACCGGCTCCGAGCGACCGGTGGGTTTCAATTAAGCCCACCCTCGACCTGGAGACAAACGGGGCAGCGTCAGGGGACTGAGAAACATGACAACACCAACAAACTCTCTTGTCTAGACGACAGACGTATTTACGTTACAGTATATTACTTCTACACTGGGTGAATGACAATTCAACTGTTAAATCATGAACACTGGTGAACACTGATATTCACTACAATTGACTGAAGTAACTGAATGGCTAGGGAACACAGAACATACCTGGGAACAAACGGGGCAGCGTCAGGGGGCGCGCTCCCTGGCCATCTTGAGTTTATATACCCCTGAGTTGCCAGTGATCCCTACTCACGCAATGACAATAATCACAAACAAACTAACTGTTACTCATTCAAAGATGACCCTCAGTTGACAAAGGTCTGGCGAATTACTAAAGTTGATTTAAACAGACTAATTCAAGGTTGCGTTTGCCAGTAGAGAGTGCAATAAACGCAGTGACAACTGTGTTCGAAGGCGGGGCTTACTGAGAGTGATCCTGAGGGTAAAACAGATGGGAAATACTCGTCTCTCCTGAGATTCTACAAGCGCGGTGGATTTGAATATTATGTAGCGTAATATGAATTAAAACGGGTTTTTAGGAATGACAATGAGGTGCGCAGTACAAAGTAACAGCAGCCCATCTGAAGTATGGGATAAGTAACGGCAGCCCATCTGAAGTACGGGTAAGTAACAGCAGTCCATCTGAAGTATGGGATAAGTAACGGCAGCCCATCTGACGTATAGGTAAATAACGGCTGCCAATCTGGAGTATGGGTAAGTAATGGCAGCCCATCTGAACTACTGTTAATAACAGCAGCCCATCTGAAGTACTATTCAATAACGTCGCCCCATCTGAAGTACGGGTAAGTAAAGACAGACCATCTGAAGTACGGCTAAGTAACGGCAGCCCATCTGAAATATAGGTAACGGCAGCTCATTTGAAGTACTGGTAACGGCAGCCCAACCGAAGTACGGGTAAGTAACGGCAGCTGGTGCTACTGTAACTATAGTATTCGGTCTATCGAGCTGGAGTTCTGTCTACCGGGATATTTACACTGTAGCATCCATTAACCTAACCTACCCTAGGTTAGGTTAGGTTAAGATATATTAGATTAAGTTAGGTTAGGTTAGGTTGGGTTAATAGACGCTACAATGTAAATATCACGGTTGACCAACTCCAGCTCGGTAGACCGCATACTTTAGTTGCACCAGGCCGCCAATCTGGAGTACGGGTGAGTAACGGCTGCCCATCTGAAGTGCAGGTAATGGCAGCCCAACTGAAATGCGAGAATCAGTAGCCCTTCTGAAGTAAGGTGGAATTTAAAAAAAAAATAGGGTGGGCTGTTAATAAAATACAAGGTCTGAGTAAAAAGATCTAATGAAAAATGCCAAGGAATGGCAAAACTAATATCCAAGTACTCGATCTGACCTTGAGTTATATATACTGTACAAGAATAACATTAGTTGGTAACTCAGCTAGAGACGGATACCCTGTAGCCTGGGCTGCTAGTTATTCCGTTTACGACAGTTGATACAGACGGTTTTGTGACACTTGTATCTATATGTGTGTTTCTTACGTACAACTGTGGAAAGGCTTAAGCACAAACGCAAGAACAGCAGCCCATCTGAAGAACGGTAAGTAGCGGCAGCCATCCAGAGGTAATGATGTACGGTAAACCACCTGACATACAGCCCATGTAAATGCGGCTCATACGAGAACTTAAACTGCCACATTTTCAAACCAGTAAGCAAATGTGACAATAGATTAAACGATTGCATTTAGTGTTCTCAGTTTCCCTCAACTCCAGCATGTATATACAGTATGTGTGTGTGAAATTATGGTTTAATGTGCACATGTGTATATTATACAGTCGCTCAAGAAAGGTATGAACACTCCGACACCTGTTGCCAGGTCGGTTTGTCAAAATCCTTCGCCCGTTGTGTCATATTATCTCAACCCAGTAGGCCCCGATTAGTAGATAACGAAGAGGATACGTTGTAGTCGAGTTGTACAGTATGGTGACAGGTGAAGGTACAGTCAGCCAAAGATGCACCGACCCCACCCTGGTCTCATGCTCGTAATTTTACCTGACAATACTTCGTAAAGGAAGGCTGTATGTAAAGGTGATTGTGATTGGTGGATTTATTTTCGGCCGTATCGCTGTCAGTATAAATATTAAGCAATCCAAAAGTACCATTTTTACAATAATAAGCTATTCATCGTAATTTAAGATCATGACAAGTTTCCAAATATTCGTAAATTTGCTACAATAATAAAGTATTATATCAATAAATTGGCAACGCAACTACAACCAGGGCTGCCACTAGAGTCTCACATCAAATTTCAAGAATATACAATATGTTCCACGTTTAATCTTGAGTGTAATGTAAGCATTACATAATATAATTTGACGTAAGTTAGAGAGCAGACACTGTAGTAGACTAAACTGACACAAGTGGTATTCCAGGGCCGCACTGAAGTGGTCATTTTAGTGTTCTATTAAATGTATTTGATGGTATAATTATTAATAACTCAGAGAGAGAGAGAGAGAGAGAGAGAGAGAGAGAGTCACTCAGTCAAAGACAGAGTATACTTATAATTATAGAGTTGACGAGAACTCAGAAAGAGGTTGAATAGCTCTAAAAAAAAAAGATTGTGGGGGGGAGGTTTTGGACCTCATTTTTTATTTATTTTTTAATCATATTGTAACAGGCTTTATGTCATTGCATAATTCAAAAATAAGGTTTATAATACATTTCTTTCTTTCGAGGATTAAAATATAGACAAGTGCATTATTTACAGTATATTGTTTAATAACGGGTCCAACCACCCTCCTTATTAATTACAGCTTGCAGCCTCCGCTGCATAGAAGATACGTTGTTTGTAAAAAGCTTATGTTTGTTTCTAAAAATCTCCCACTGTCTTGTCACGTGGTCGAACAGCTGGTTCGGCGTCCTCTCGAACTCGGGCTCCCAGGAATTGACGATACTTGCAAAGATATTTTCAATGGGATTCATGTCGCATCCCTTGCTCGGCAATTCCAAGAGCCTGAAGTGTTGCTGCCCGTCAAACTACTGACGCACTGCTCTGACTGTGGATAGGACATCTATCTTGAATAAAAGTAATTGGCCCAGCAGGTAATGGGAAATTGCGTTCCTGAATTGAAGCTAGGAACTCATTCCGCACGATGTCTAGGTATATATTTGCCGTAAACCTCCCCTGAATTTGGAAAACATCTCCCATACTTACCTGCAAAACAGACACCAAATGAGCTGTTCTTATCCCCTGTCACAGCAGATGAATTACTGGCCATCATAAAAAAGTCCAATGTTGCAGCAGCAGGCGAAGACAATATACCAATGAGCATCATTAAGAAAGTAGTCCACTTATTGCTACCTGTTCTCCTACACATTTGTAACTCCTACTTCACTAGAGGTGTCTTTCCTGATAAACTGAAAATTGATAAAGTTCATCAGGCATATAAAAAAATCTGTGGACAAAGGTCTCTTCAAGAATTACCGCCCCATATCAGTCCTCCCAGTCTTGAGTAAGATCCTGGAAAAACTAGCAATGCCAATAACATCTTTACAGACTCCCAGTTTGGATTTAGAGCTAGAAGGTCGACTGAGAGTGCTCTGCTATCCTTTACTAATGACATCTTAAATTCCTTTGATGACAGTCAGTTCACATTCGGTATATTCTTGGACCTCTCTAAAGCCTTCGATACTGTTGACAATACCATCCTCCTTTCAAAGCTTGAACATTACGGCGTTAGGGGCCTGTCCCACAATTGGTTTACCTCATATCTGTCCAACAGGATGCAGTATGTCTGTTATAATAACCACCAATCTGACTCCTCCCCAATCTTGCATGGAGTCCCCCATGGTTCCATTCTCGGTCCAGTACTATTTTTGTTGTACAAAAACGACATAGTCCACGCCAGCTCACTCATAAAATACAACTTATTTGCGGACGATAGTAATCTCTATGCCAGCAACCTCCATTCTTTGATGAGAACTATGAACACTCAATTGACTAAAGTCGGGACCTGGGTAATACGTATTAAACTGACCTTAAACCTTGAGAAAACCCACTACACTATCTTTTACAGAAGGAAAACTTACCCCCAGACCTGGACCCCCTGTACCTTGGTAATCTAATCCTCAAACGCGAACAAAATTGTAAATTCCTCGGAGTTATTGCTGATGAGAAACTTAACTGGAGAAACCACTTACAAGCCATTCACAGTAAAATAAGAAAACAGTGCGGTATCATGTGTCACACTCGACAGTCGCTCACTCTCACAGCAATGAAAGAAATCTATCATGATCTTGTTTACCAACACCTGATACACTGTCACACACTATGGGGGGGCCTCTGGCTCTACAAAAACACAATCTCTGGTTACTGTACAAAAGGGAGTTGTACGGACAATGACCTACTTGAAAAAAAACAGATCACACAAACGAAAAATTTGCTATGTTGGTATTTTTAAAATTCGAAGATATTAACACTTACTGCTGTGCCCTCTTTGTTTACAAATCTATCAATCACTTGCTTGACAATAATTATTTCCAGTTCCGGAATAATCAGAGATACAACTTAAGGCACCCAGAGCTACTAAGACTACCCTCCATGCACTCCTCTCAGTCCCAGACCTCCATAAAATATCATGGTGTGAAGGTGTGGAACGCCTTACCCCCACCCATCCGAGCAAAGACTACTCTCCCTTCCATTAAATCATCTCCTAAAAAATATATATTGTCGAAGTATTAATGTTTCTTGTAACACCTACTATATTTACAGTACCTGCTTTTATTGTACCATCAAAACCATTTTATCGGAAGTTATCATGGAAATAAACATAATTGCCAACTAGACATAATCCTGACACCTCTGTCCTCTTGTTCAACCTTATTACTGTACAACCCATGTTGTACTGCTCCCCCATTATACTTATGTTTTTCAATTTCACTGTAATTTATATGTATATGTGTATGTGTATGTATATGTATGTGTATATAAATATATGTATGTGTATATAAATATATGTATATATATATATATATATATATATATATATATATATATATATATATATATATATATATATATATATATATATATATATATATATATATATATATATATATATATATATATACAATCGATGCTGTGTGTTCTCATCAGAGCTGGTGAAGAACTTTTTTGTGTAGTTGTTGAGAAGAGGATCCTATGTCCTTGGGATGGACATTCCCGGTGTAGAAAATTGGCTAGTTCCCCCCCCCCTCCCCCACCCCCCACACTATTGGAAAAGCTTCCGCTTCCGATACAAGTACTGAAAGTATATGTCACCCAATAAGTCTCCTCTTGACGAAGTGAGAGTATACCGCTGAACCCGGTTACCAGGGAGAAGGTATCTCGATTTTGGAAATACCAGTACCTCAAGGAAGATAGTACGTAATAGATAATGTAGTCAAAAAACTCCACGTCTCCAGAAAAGAGTAGAACACGGATAATGCGTTACGGCATCGCTCGGTGGACGATGTGGCCTACTGGGACCTGACAACCACCATCTGTGGACAGGAAGAAACTCCACTCAACAGGCCTTCAAGGATGTGAGAATCTACGCTTATTGGAAAGAACGGTCTATAGTGACCAGCATAATGGAAATATGTGTTGTGGTCAGTTCTATGTGACCACACATGAACCACAGTGAGTGTTGAGAGGAAGTACTGCACAGTATGTCTGAAGGCAGTAGTAATACAGAAAGCGTGAAATCCTATGTTGGGATTACTATTAGTGTATAGACAATATGTGTGCGAGTTACGGACTCTGTGAACCCACGAATTAAGAGGAACATTTTCAGGGTGCACTTAGTAAATGCACATTTATACAATATCCTGTTACCATCTCTAAGACGTATGGAGGCTCCAGAAACTCTTTGTATGTATGTATGTATGTATGTATGTATGCATGTATGTATGTATGTATGTATGTATGTATGCATGTATGCATGTATGTATGTATGTATGTAATCCCAACGGTATACACCTCCTCAGCAAGTGAGCTGCACACAACCTCACTCTTACAAATACCATGTTTAGGCAGGCCGACAAGTTCAAGGGGACTCGTGGCAACACCCACGATCCAAACACTGGCATCTCATTGACTACATCATTGTCAGAGAAAGAGATCGCCAAGATATCCTCATCACTCAAGCAATGTGTGGCTCAGATCACTGCGACACTGATCATCGGCTCATCAGAGCTAAGCTCTCACTTCACGTCACCCCCAAAACGGCGAAGGCAGCAAGCTTCCAGATGTTGTTTTAATACTAAGCGTCTGGAGGATCCAGCGATAGCACATGCTTTAATAGAGAAGCTCGAACATGGGCTCATAAACAACCCGACAACAAAAAACCCAAATCCCACTGATGAATGGGTTATTCTCCACACTGTTATGAGAAAAACCTGCAGAGAGACCCTCGGCCTGATCGAAAGAATAGACCAGGGTTGGTTTGATGAAAATGGCCCGTATATCAATGATAAACGTGCTGCTTTACCTGACTGGCAGAACAACCCTCAGTCTCGGACCAATGCTGATACCTGTGGCAAGAAGAAAGCGGCTGCCCATCTCGAACTTTTGCAAACTAAAGAACGACTGATTCAAAAATAAAGCATGTGAAACCCCCCAAAAACCGTGTAAATCAGCACAAGATATGTGAATTTTTCAATTCCACTCAAAAATTTTATGGGCCAGTCACTGGTGGTACAGCCCCCGTCTGCTCATCCGATGGTAACTCCCTAATTAAAGATGAGGAAGGCATCTCAGCGCTGGAAAGGGCACTAACATTTGGTGCTCAACCGAAACACCTTTGGGGGACGCCAAATAAGATTGGCGAGGAGTCACATTAGTGATTATTATAACAGACATACTGCATCTTATTGGACAGATATGAGGTAAACCAATTGTGGGACAGGCCCCTAACGCCGTAATGTTTAAGCTTTGTAAGGAAGATTGTATGGTCGACAGTATCAAAGGCTTTAGGGAGGCCCAATGCCTACTGTGAACTGACTGTCATCAAAGGAATTTAAGATATCATTAGTAAAGGATAGCAGAGCACTCTCAGTCGACCTACGAGCTCTAAATCCAAACTGGGAGTCTGTAAAGATGTTATTGGCTTTGCAGAAGGAATTTAGTCTACTACATGCTAGCTTCTCCAGTATCTTACTAAAAGCTGGGAGGACTGATATGGGCCGGTAATTCTTGAAGAGTCCTTTGTCCCCAGATTTTTTATATGCTATGTAAACTTTAGCAATTTTCAGTTTATCCGGAAAGACACCACTAGTAAAAGAGGAGTTACAAATGTGTAGGAGAACAGGTAGCAATAAGTGGGCTACTTTCTTAATGATGCTCATTGGTATATTGTCTTCGCCTGCTGCTGCATCTTTGGACATTTTTATGATGGTCAGTAATTCATCTGCTGCTACAGGGGATAAGAACAGCTCATTTTGCTGTCTGTTTTGCAGGTAGGCTCGAAATTCTTCATGGTGATCAGGGATGCTGTCTGCAAATTTTTTGCCAATATTAATAAAATATTCATTGAAGTGGTTGGCAATGAGGGAAGGTTCCGTTACAACTGAATCATTTATCATAAAAGCTGAGTGGGGGGCCGAAGGGTGAGTGTTCCTGTTCTGAATAGAATTTATGACATTCCAGCTTTTCTTACCGTCACCTCATGCTGCCTGGAGCTTATTTGTATAATAGCTACGTCTGGCATTTCTAACTTCTTGAGTTACTCTTTCTGATACTTCGGTAAGCATCACCGAAAATTATGGGTCTTTTTGCAAATTTCCTTTGGAGTTTGTGTTTTTCCTTTATCATTATCTTAATCTCGCTTGTGATATAGGGTTTGGAAATGGATACAGTTTTCACTGACTTAGTCTTGAGCGGGAAGCATTTATCAAAGCAAGCATTGAAGATGCAAGAGAAGTTGCAGCTGTTCACGTTAGGGTTGTCGGAGGCATAGACAAGATCCCAGTTAGCATTCATTAGGTTGCTTTAAAAAAGGAGCATGTTGTCGGTGCAGTAGTCTCTGTATTGTATTGAGACTCTACTAGACCTTTCAGGTCTTGTGGCTGTTTTATACATGTCAAAAACTGGGAAGTGATCTGAGATATTGTTATAAATAATTCCACTTGCAAGATTGTTATATATAAAAGAAGACTTGAAATTTTGATATATAAGAAGGAGTTTTTCGGTTAAGAATAAATAAAGAGATTACTTAAAGATCGCATTGAGAATTTATTTATGTAGTATCAACATTTTTAAGCAGAATTACATTGAGATATCCCTGCCCATAAAAAAAAATATATAGAATGTTCCCATACTCACCACATGAACGGAAAAAAGTCAACCAATTTGCAAACAGGCATGTAGTACATTTATTTCCGGTGCTAAAAAAATGAAAAGGAAACAAACTTGATGCAATGTCTGGTTTTTCTTTCTCACCTGTGGCCGGTGTTAAATCAAACTCCTTCTTTCTTTCATTCATAGTTGGGCAAATAAGCACCACATCACACGGGCACTGTTGTTAATGACTGGGCCACGGGAAGGTCAGGTCAAATTCAGTATGTATGCTTAACCTGGTGTCGCACTGGTCACTTCACTTCCTTGCTACTGCCTCGGGAGTTGCACTTGACATTATTAGAGGGACCTGCCAGGCTTTGCCATAAACAGATGAAATATATCTGGAATTCTCCCTCTACACCCTCATTCTCCTCTCACTGTATGTACAATCAAAGACAAAAGTCGTGTCGCCGTTTTGTCCGAAGATTAAATATAACTCGTGAAACATTATGAGAGCCCCTTGCCACAAGGCAGAGTGCACTAAAACTTTAGCCCTTCGGCATATGTTTTCACCAAATTTCACGACACGACTTTTGCCTTTCAATGTAACTTGCTGACCCAATCCTTGGCGCCTCAAGCACTTCTTTTATTAATCAAAGTAGTCAAAGAAAGCAAGCATGAAGTTCGTAAGCTTCCCTGTTGGGCACTGTGAACGCGTTTTCACTTCCCCTATCATAGAATGCAAGGGGGTGGGTGCCCAATAAAATAGCCCCATGCGGTGCAAATCTGTAAAAAAAATCGGGAATTAGCTGGTCCAGAATGGAGTGAGACCACTTCATGACCAGTGGCTAAACTGCTGAACGAAATAGTTCATTAACCCCTTTACTACGGGTGCGCCACGTTTAATATTTTATTTGGCTAACGTCAGACGACTTTATTTAGCTCAGACAGAACCCGTACACAGGGGGATAGTAGACTCTCTCCATTAACCGGCCAATGAATCTTCTCTTCTTTCCTAGTTATATCATAACTATGACATTCTCCAATATTCTTGTCCTAGTTATTATATGACACGGAAGAAATTTTTTTTTGCATTTTTTGCAAATTGATCTGTTGCTTGTCTTTTTGTAAAATGGCCAACATTCTAGATTTTTTTACAAAGTAGCTGATACTTTAGAAATATTCTGTAACGCTTAATACATAATATATACTTTACCTTGATTGAGATTGGTATCCCCGCATCCCCTGAGCAAAGTTCTTGTGCATTGTGCACAAGACCCGACAGCCGCACCCTTATCCACTACCTCCTAAGATGTCCCCACACACAACGCTTCCGTGACGCCTTCTGGACCACCACTCCACGACCCCCTGACGGAGACACGATGATCCTCCCCATACTGGCCAGATATTATGTAAATAACATTGATTTTGTGTTAAGATAATATCCTTCCTTCCTTAGGCTTTAGTAAGCCTTTTTATAATATTTATTTATACTGTATATATTTGTGACACGTGCCAGATGCTTCTGGTGTTATTGTACAGGGGTACCTAGTGACAGCACTAGGATCCCGCTTCCTCTATCAATTGAAATTGAAATTGAATTTATCTTGATTAATTCAGTTTTAAATTAAAATAAGTTCAGGATACCCTTACATCTTGCGGTGGCAGATAGTAATAGGCTTGAAACATCAGGTTACCGTCATTAGGCATCATTATCAAGAAACGTGTACTAAAATCTGACTGTCAACAACACACATTGCCCAAATCAACCTATTAACACGTCATGATAACAGTACAAGGCTTACAACATTTAACTACTTCCTGTTTCAGCCTTACGACTGTGGGCTAACAGACATCAACGAGCAACTCAAAGATTGGAACATCAGATTGATCAACACAGTGGACCAACTTAAGGTTGGTCTCTACAACAAGTAGAGACTCTCTGCTGTTAGAGAGGGAGAGAGAGCTGTGCTAAGATGGGCTTCACTGAAGTGACAGACAAGGAGCAGCTCTTGGGGTTAGCTGAAAGAATTAAGCAAGATTTCCCACAATCATGTTTGGTGAGTATTCATGTTGGATGATGATAAACGTGTATATATATATATATATTACAGATTTTGGGCGAAATCGGTTTCTTTGGCAAAATTACCGGCATGCATATTGGCAATTTTGCAAAATAACTTACAAACAGACAACCTGAACTAACCTAACCTTATGGTTAGGTTAGGATGGCTCATGTAGATTGATACACAGCTAAGTGGTCCTGTTCTATTGTTTTTTTTTACTTTGGTTAATAAGTTTGTACAATTTCCGGCATGCATATTGGTAATTTCACCCCCCTCCCCAAAAAAAAAGAAGATGGATGAAAAAATTAGGTATATGTTGTAAAGAAATACAGATTGAAAGAACTGCAAATATACATCTATAGCATGAGTGTTTTGAATCTCTGACCACCACTTGAACAGATGTACAACAACCTGCTGTTCCGTGCTCGAGGGTTCTGCTCCACGGGAAGATTCTACATCATTGAAGATTCCCCAGACTCTTACGTCATCCTAAAGCAGAGCAACGTGAGTTAAATCCTTATTTATAATACTAAAATTAATATATTTCCTAGGTATAAATGCTCGTAACTTTGTATGCTACATGTCTTGATACACTTATTTACAGTCGAAAATTGTTGACGTCGGTGTCATTTATGTTTAGTCAGTTCATAATGTCAGTCAAACAATTTTACATATCTCACAGGTTAGATGAAAATCGTACAGGGGGAGTGGGGTATATTTCGTTATGTATCAGTGGTGAGTTGTGTGAGGGAGGAGAGGGAGTGTTTCGTTACGGGGAGTAAGGTCATTAAATATAAGGTATAGTTAGGCAAACATGAAATTAGATATATCAGATTATATTTAAATATTACTTTAGTTTTCAATCTGAGTGTTAAATATTTATATAGGGCTTACAGGCTGCGGCGAGGCCACCTTATAATAAAAATTGTTTTCTATGGGCCGATACAAGAAACTATTTTCTTGTTGAATCATCGTCACGTAAATGTCCAACTGCATTGCCTCACGAACAGTGCGCCACCGATAACTGGCAATTACTGTCAGAACAAATGAAAGCCTTGGGCATTAAATACAACTATAGAAAGTTTTGAGAATGAACAAGCACAAAATCAAAATAGTGTGAAAACATTAGATAAGATAGGAGGGCTTGTAATGTAAGTAGGAAAATTCAAACATTACAGTGGGACATTCTGGGATTAAGGGAAGTATGATGGAAAGGTTCATATAGTTTTAGTGGTTAAAAAATATTTCATGTATCCAGGTGGTGAAAAACATGAGAGGTGTTGTATTCTTGGAAACCAGATGTGAGCTGTCGTGTAAAGGGATATTGGGCAATGTCAGATGGAGTTTTATTAGTCAGTTTTAATGCTAAAGCCACGGACTTGGTAACAATGCAGAATTCTGCACCAACAATTGAAAGTGAGGATAAAGTTCTAGAAAAGTTTTATGAAGATTTAATGAAATCCAAAGACACAATAAAGTTTAATGAATGTCTGACCAGTGATTTTAACGGAATGGTTGAGAAGTGGAAAAGAAACACCAGGACTAAGACAACATAGAATGGACAATAGCCATGAAAGAGAAAATATATTAATTGATTTGTGTTAGGAAGGCAAGATGACCACGTCCCAGTAATGAGTTAATGGGGCTAAAACCTAAAAATAATTAAAAAGAAAAACATTGGACAAAAACAAATGGAATATAGGAAGTTCAAAACAATGACTGGAATATAAAATTAAATTGAACCCTCCCTAAAATTTCACTATTGTGAGTAGAAGGCTCTCATGAAAAAGAAATAGCAAAACTGGAATAGTTTCAAATAAATAATATTGTATTAGAGAGTGTAGAAAAACTTCTCGAATATAGGGGGACCAAGTTAAAAGTGATTGAACCACAAATTAAATTTGAGAGGGAATGTATATATAACGGAAGTTGAAAAGCCGAAACCTTGCTTACAAAGAGCTTAAAAAAAAAATTAAAAAGCTCTATAGACAGGCGAAAGAAGATTTTATAGCTAGGAAATGCAAGGAGATAGAAGATGATGACAGGGACATATAAGTAGGAAAATATACAGTAAAATTAGCAAATACGGTAAGATCCTGTTTGAGGCAGAAAAAGTACGAGAGATGGGCAGAGTATGTAGAAGAACTATACAATGATGATGATGATGATACACTGGAGGTAGGAAATGACAAGAGTATAAAGATCAGACTATTGTGGACACCAGAAGTTGGGCAGCTGTGAGCAAAATGAAAAATAATAAGGCTTGTGGGGTCGTCAGCTTCTAATGACATTCATAAAACAAATGGGCTAGAATACCATCAAATATTTGGCTAAAATAAGTAACTTCCTAATTATTTCCAAATATAGATATTTGTGTTATTACCTAAGAGCCAGGAACGGCAGAATGCACCCAGTTAGAAAAAAATAAGCTTAATAAGCCATACCGGCGAAATTTTATTAAACAATATTTTAAGTAGAATAAAATTTTAAATAGACTTAGTTATCTGAAGAACAAAATGAATTTAGAAAAGGAAAATGAACTTGTGAAGCTATATTTGAATTGAAATTTTTGAGTGAAGAGCTTTAGCGGTCCTAAGATATTTATTTATCTGCTTTTATATTTTGAAAAAGTCTTTGATAGGGTAAAACATAATAAACTTACATATGTTGTTATATGTTCAGGGGTAATTACTCTGCTTGTTCGGTAGGTATGGCTATATTATATATAACTTTGTTCCTTTATGTAATAACTGGTTAATATGTTATATATATTGATTTATAATATGTATGTATTAAGTAAATTAGTCCATGTCGTGTATTAATTAAGTAAAATATGTATTAGTTAGGTAAAATTGCTTGATATAATTGGCGACATGGTATCTGCACTGTGTGGGTCACTGGTCTACCAGCTCAGCTAGTAAGTGGGGAGACTCACAGTGATGCCGTTTCATGGAATATCATCTGCTAGTGTGGAAAACAATCACACATACCTTGCCGATGTGGACCTGCTGGACCTAGTTCCCCTTACTGTGGAACATATTCCATACATATGCATATATGTAAAATATGATAATAACCCTTAATAATTTTGATACCAAAATATAATGAGAAGGTGTATTTATATATTAGCCTAATTATGGTAAGGATATAGCTATTGTCATTTGTCATTTGTCATTTCATAAAACAGTTGAAAGAGTCTTAGAGCAGTGGACATGAGAGACCCATCGGCTTTTCTTTATTTCAACTTCTTAAACTTTATTTGGCCAACATTTATAAAAAAAATAACCAACTATTCCAGATGGACCCCTACAGTTCATTTACTCTATAAGAATTTATTAGAGTATTTTTCCCGTCCGTAGTTGGTGCAAAAGGCAGACATTACGAACTTTGACCTATGTAATGAAAACAACCACCTACCAATTACTCTGATTTTCTTGGGCTCAGCTGTGAATGGGTTGCTTCAGACTGAGTATCAAAATCATGGCGTGATGTGCGACGAAGATGTCGCACCTTTATGGTCACTATGTGTATGCAGCTGAAGAAAAGATTTGATTTTAATGATAAACTATGGTATATGTGCTCATTTTTATTCCCCAAAAAGTTTTAGACTTCAGGTCCAGGACTGCGATGCCTTCTTTACATGATTTAGTGAATGCTGTGCCTCGTTTTCATGACGGGGATATACAGGCATTGGAATATAAGTGGAGAAACCTTGATTCTACTCCTTTACCACCAGAACTGAGAGACGTTAAATGTGGGAATGTAGAATTTTATGTAAAGTTACGACAAACGACCAATAACGAGGATCACATCAATAAACTTTTTCCCATTTGCATTGCAGGTTGTCATTACAACACATCCAATGCAGATGCAGAAAGGTTATTCTCCAAAATTACTTTAATGAAAAAAGACACAAGGAATCGCACAGATACCACCCATCAATGCCTTAACTTCAGTTTCTGAAACTAAAATCCCAAGGTTACTGTGTGAAGTTTACCTCATCTCGAGCAATTATAAATAGTTTACAAATGTAATATACAAATGAAGAAGATAGTGTGTTTTGGAGGTGTTTGGTTTCAGGATTATTGATGGTGATGCATTTGTCGTTTATAAAGTAAATATCAGACATAACAACCTCTGTTCTGTTACCAACAAACTTGAATATTTAATGGCTGTATCATCTAGTGAAGCATATTCAACTATGACATTCACCAATTGAACAAAACCGAGCAACATCACCAAAACTCCAGATGAGCAAAACGGACTGTATAAAAGACAAGGAACTATTAATAATTATCCACTACTGAATGTAAAACAAGCAACACGAAGAAATCGACGAAGACCTAGATAAGCTACACAACGCCATAGTAAGCGTTCAACCAAACGACCCCATTAATGATATACAGAACCCCTCAAGTAATAAACCCACTGAAGCATTAGAGGCTACATGTACAATACTACAATAATACAAGGACAGATATAGAACAAGCAGGACCCACTAGAGAACTACTCCAAAACTTAAGGAAATTTACCATGACCTCCAAGAGGAATATATAAAATTAACAACGAAAATATGGAACAGTCTACTGTAATATCAAACATAGATACGACAACGGACACAAAAACATTCAGGCAAAACATTAACAGATTACTTGGCACCAAAAAACAAACAGTAAACGACATAAAAAGACCAAACGGAGAAAAAACTTTATACAGACCAGGAAAAAGAAAGAGGCCGTTCGTAGAGAATGGAAAAATATATTCGAATATCAGAAGAAGAAAATTACAACTTTGACAAAGAACATGAAGAAGCAATTAAAGAGCAAAACAATAGACTGGCGCCCTACCATACAGGAAAGCCAGATAGACTAAAACCAATAGACTCATAGGGCACGACGAACTACTACTCAGCTTATGCAAATATAAGAAAAAATCACCCTGGAATGAGTGGCATAACTCGAAATATACTATTGAACCTACCTAACAGACCAATTCAAGCACTCCTATATACAACTCAGTCCTATCAGCTGGTTACTTCCTGATGCCCTCAAGTGCGCTAAAATGATCTTCATTCCCAAAGAAGGCAAAGATCCAACACAAATAACCAATTACAGACCGATATCTTTACTGGAAATAACTGGCAAACTCTTAGAATGCTTAATAAAGAACAGGCTAAAAAATCGGATACATATAGTAAACACAACCCAAGACAGCATGGCTTCAGGAGTGGGAGGGACCCAGACTGCAATAGCTATAATAACAGAAATCATCGCTAAAGAAAAACAGCATGGAAACCAAATAAACCTTATCCTGAGAGACATGCAAAAGCCTTTGATAAAGTGTGGCGCACAGACCTAAATTACAAAACCTTACAACTACACCTGCCAGCAGAAAGTGAGAGAGAATCCTGTAACTACCTCCGAAACAGAAGGCGGCTGAATTGGTCACGTATTTAGGCCCAACCCTAGACCTCAAAAAGTGGGGTGCCTTGGGGGGCGTACTGTC